TATGTCTTCCATTTTTAGTACTGTTTTAGTACCCGCTTCACCTGTGGTTCCAAACATACGGCCCGTCAGCCAAAACCGGCCTGCGAGGGGTTTCAATCGTGCCCACTTGATGAATTTTGAAAGTTAAAAAACAAATGCACCAATGTTCATAATGTGTTTTCTTAAATTATATTTAATTAAATATGACGCTTTTTGGATGCACTTCTTTGCAGAAAAAAAAGGCCGGGGCGTGGTCTTAATGTTATTTACAGGTAATTGTGTTATGATTGTACTGGTCCACTGGACCACTTGACAAAACCCGTGTGGCCCCTGAGCCAAAATGAGTTTGACACCCCATCACTCGTTACTCTTGACACAGGTCTATCACTGCAAAAGCAGTAGAAAGCTGCCGTGACACACGTGTCCTATGGGTGTGACATTTCAAGGACATATTGTAAACGCAAATTAAATAGCGGTATTTTTTGTTCTCAGCAAAGACGCCGTGTTTTTTGCACTAAATTTTTCACAGTTCCTTTGGTCATGTGAACCAACATCCTCATCCCAACGCCTGGATAGAACGGCTGATGACCAGTCACATGACATTTTTCCGCTTCGCCATTTTGTGTTGCTATTGGGCCGCGCAGAGTCGTGACATCCCACTTCCCATTGCCAGTCGGATCAGACAGTTATCGGTTAAGTCGAGTGCGTTACGAGACAGTAGCTTAAATAGGTATCGACAACTGCGTCATTGACCCGTCGTTTGTAAATACAACTGTATATTAGGGTGATATTCTGTGAAGAAGGATGTCTGCTGAAACTCCAGAATATTCTCCTTTCTTCGCGGTGATGGGTGCCTCTGCGGCGATGGTGTTCAGCGGTAACTAACATATGTCATATTGACTGTTGTCAGTTAAAAAATTCACCGTATGCTCTCGAATATAGTCAGACAGCTACAGCCTGCAGTGGTTTGTGTTCAATGCTATATGTGTGAAAATACTGCCGTTAGCCATGCTAACATCATAATGCACAACTACTACTGTGGTTTAACACCAACAATTGGTTAATAGTAAACTTTGTTTTTAAATACATTTCTGAATATAACATGTCTTTGTTTCTGTCGGATGAATGGCATGGTGGTTTTGCTGTCTGTTGACTGCAACATACTAGCATACTAAAATGATGCCACATTAAGCGATTCGGCAGTAGCTTCGTACAAGACTAGGCTAACGGCCAGGCTTATCCTGATATAACTCTCCACTAAGTGATTTTCGAATCGGGAACAAACGTCTTTTCATGACTATGTATGTACACGACTTCATCACATGATGACATGTACAATTCCGATCATTACGAGTTCGAACGGTTGTAGTCGTGGTTCGTGAAAATTGTGAATAAAATACATTTTATTGGTCAAATTTGATGAGATAGACACATTCTAACTAATACGGTATTTTAGTGTGTATCGTTAAATTCTAGAACCTGTCAAGAGGTACGTACGCTAATGCAAAGCGGAACTAAATCACAAGGACTTGTTCCCCCCCGCCACCCAATGGTGACGAAACACGATCGTCGCTCACTGGAGCCCTTCAAACAGCCGCTTTAGCATGTAGCTTAGTGTAGACCAGCTAACACCACAAGAAATAGGATACATTTCGCCTGTTATACATTCCCTTGCGCATGTTAAAAAAAAAAGTACACCACATGCTCATCAGTACTATTGTAATTGTTATGAAAAATTAGCATTATAAAAAAATATAAACCTTTTATATTTGTACAATTACCTTATGTTATCTATTTCGCCTGCAGGGCTTTTTATTAGTAAAGAAACAAACAAATGAGCATTCTCTGCGTTATTTTATTTACTAAAAAAGGGGGGAAAAAGTGCCTGATGTGAACATGACAAAAATATGCTGTTAGCCTTCATTTTTTAATGCTGTTAGCCTTCTTTTTTTTAATATGTCATTTTCCTCCTCAGCCCTGGGAGCTGCCTATGGCACAGCTAAGAGTGGCACAGGAATTGCTGCAATGTCTGTAATGAGGCCAGAGCTCATCATGAAGTCAATCATACCTGTGGTCATGGCGGGAATTATAGCCATTTATGGCTTGGTAGTAGCAGTGCTGATTGCCAACAACATCTCTGAAAAGGTCACCCTTTACAAGTAAGTTCAAATGGTCTTTTTTACATTTTTCCCTTTACAAGTAAGTTCAAATGGTCTTTACTTTCTTTTTTACATTTTTCAGTTGTTTTTTTGTTTTTTTGCGTATAGCTTAATCATAAAGTTTACTAGGTAGTAGTAATAGTACTATCTATTGCTAAGATATTGAGTTGTCAGCAAATCTATCTACGTTTGTGGCAGGACACCAAATGCAATAGACTTGAAAGGCCTGTATCGCGCCACTTGATCATTTATGGATCATCATTTCATTTGCGCTTGTTGGTGACAACACAGTCAGGGTCCTGGAACGTTACATTCTTCCATTTTCATTTACACTGCGTTTGACGCTCTTTCACTTCGGTCGCTCCTGATATTAAATTGCATGTTGTAGTTACTGGAACATTTTTATTTTGTGTACAAGGAATACTTGAAAGAATTGGAACTTGAAATACATTTTAGTGCTCGGTTAAAAATGGCAAGGTCACTTCTCACCTGGGTTAGGTTTGAGGATTAGATTTTCTGGTCACTGTGAGCGTGATAAAGAAGCAGAGAGGACAGCGCCATTAACGCCATTATGGTGCTCTGTCGGTATAATATTGTGATCGTAAACCACTTATTTTCTCTCTCTTTTTGGGTGTTTTGGTTAGGAGTGATCAGTATGGCTTTTTGTTGTCGTTCATCGCAGGGATGGTGCTGTGCAGGTAGTCTGTGATTAGTGCCCTGGAAGATGTTCCCATGTCCTGTAGTTTAAAGCATCTTCCATTGGGTAGTTGAATGGAAGATGTTGTATTTGTCATGAAGTTGGTTCGACCAATTTTTAGTTAGTACCTAATTCCAGTTACCTAGCACTTTATTTTAAATTTTTTTTAACTGAAGCCAACTAATTCCAGTTACCTAGCACTTTATTTAAAAACATTTTTAACTGAAGCCAAAACTTGTGACTGAGTGCAGTTTGTGGGAAATGTTTCATAGTTAACTTTTCGAATTCGAATACAGTTTTTTGTCTGCTGTCAGTGGAAAGAAAATTGGAATCAGTCACACTGGAATCATTTAAATAATTACATCTCTACCGTTATAATATTTTGCATACAATCCCCTATTTTGAGTATTAAAACAGATTTAAAAAATGAGCTACAGTGCTGCCATTAAGTGACTTGAGAGGCATGTTTAGCGTTGATAATGTTCTGTGTTCTTACATCTTACAGATATTACAAAATGTGCTTATATCGGGCCGATAATATCGGCTGGCCCATATTATCGGACATCCCTATATGAATGTTTTTTGTCATACTGTTGTCACATATTTATTGTTTCGTGGTTGTTCTTTATATAACACTGGTAGTGAGAACCTGACACCCTGTTGTAGATTGTTATCGTGTTGACATACCTTCTGTCTGCAGGAGTTTCCTTCATCTGGGCGCTGGCCTCAGTGTGGGCCTCAGTGGATTAGCAGCAGGCTTCGCCATCGGCATTGTGGGAGATGCAGGCGTGAGAGGCACGGCTCAACAGCCCAGGCTTTTCGTGGGCATGATCCTCATCCTGATTTTTGCTGAGGTCTTGGGTCTCTACGGACTCATCGTTGCGCTCATTCTCTCCACAAAATAAGTGTCGTCTTGAAGAGTTGTTCATTCACGTTCATTCGAGTTTAAAAGTGGGGTAAAAGGTCCAATTCTGCCACATAAATGGACAAAGTAGAAGTGGTACAACAGTAAATTAAAGTGTAATGTCAACATTACGTACAGTTGTCCCAATTTGATACTCAACATACACATGCAATGTAGTGATGTGCCTGTATCGTGTGAGTGTTTCAGAATCACTAGGGATTTTGTTTTCTTTCCACTTCAGAAAGGCCTGAAAAGCCCATGTCTTTGGAACTGACCATGAAGCTTAACACTTATTCTTCCAACACCTTCTCTGCATTAATCCTGATGATCCGATTGTACATATACAGTACAGTTGTTTCCCACTACTTATCATTTTAAGTTGTCCAACGCACCAGTAGTCTTAACGTCCCTGGGATATATTATTAAAAACAATACATAAATAAATATCTATTTAATTTAATTGCACTCTGGGCTTGTTGTTCTAAGTGCTGTTCCTCTGTGTGTGAGTTCAGTAATGATAATTAAGATTGACTTTGGCGTGTTGCTGCTGGATTGGGATTTCTTTGTCTGTCGATGTCTTATTTTGAAGCAAATGTAGTTGACCTTCAGTATTTTCCTGATGTACTGTTTGCAATAAAAACTCTGTTCTCTGTGTTGGGTTTTACAACTTCAATCGTCCAAAAAATATATTTCTTGTTCATATCTTCTCCCTCTTTATGTTCAGTTTCACTTAGTCTTAATTCTAAAGGAAGACAATCATTCTTTTAAAAAAAAACAGTAGCAGGGGCAAATAAAAGAATGCAAATAGAGTCAATATTATAAATTTCATATAAAATGCAGCAGGCAAACATGCCTTTCACTGCTCTGCGCAGTTATTGATCCCCAGAATAGCCTTGAGCCAATCCTGATGGATAGATAGATCAATATTAAGGGTCCACCAGCAGTACAGCACAATAAACATGCAAAGATGGACTCTATAATGAAATAACATTGATATTTTCATCATGTTTTCATGCGTATTGTTATTAAGTTCTATGCATATACTACGTTATACCACATTATCTCTATGCTATTATAATTTGACAGCTATTCTTATATTACTGTTGTATATGTATATATAAATAAAAAAAGTTTCAACACGATATAAACAGGTTTCAGCTTTTATATGATAGCAAGAAAATGTATTTTTACCAGAATATAACTTATATTATGTTATTATTATTATACAATATTATTGAATACTATGATTCTGTTTACTACATACATTACTGTTCTATATATAAAATATATTTAAAAAAATAACGTACGACAACAGACTACAATATTCGCTGTGTAATCGCGGTCGCGTAAACTCGTTGACGCGCTGTTTGCGGCGATTTGACAACGACTTACGGCACCTTCTTTTTGCTCAAAATGGCGCCTATTTGGAACGTGTGACGCCAGATGCGGAAAAGGTTTAAAGGTTCCAGTTTAAAACCCACAGGTGTGCGAAGTTGTTTCTAATTTCCTGCTCGACCATATAGAAATGTAAGTTATTTTTGGATTTTTATTCCCAACTTTTGGTGTTTTGACCATATGCATTGATTGATGTATTAATTATAGCTAAATAGCTAGCTAGACTTTAATTAGAGTGGAAGAAACATTTGTCCATTTGCTTAGCTGAAACTAATATAAAAAATGCCAGACCCACATCAGTTTTTTAGTGTTCAGTGTTTATTGAAACTTATGTCACCATTTTAGTGTTTCAAGTTCATCTACAGCAAATCTCTAACAATTTGTAATTAGCAACAGATGGAGAGAGCAGCTTGAAGTTATCCAGCATCAAAGCACACTCAGGTTTTCTATTTAATAAGAAAATCATTATTTGGTAAATGTTGTGCTCACACTAAAACTTCAGTAGATAACATGAAGAGCTTCAACATGGTTGAGCATCTTTTTTTCCCCTCTCCATTGAGAGGCATTAGATGAGGTGGCTTGGTCAGTTAAATCGCATTCCCCTGGACACCTCCCTTTGTACTAAATTGTAAACCCTGGGTCGTTTTTTTGTGGTGTAAAAAGGGGGCTGGGCTTTTTTTTTTTTTTTTTTTTTTTTTTCTCTTCGGTTGACGGTTTCAAGGCCGATGGCCTACTGGATGGCTGGCCTGGCAGCTTCTGTTAATTCTTGTTTTGCTTGTCACGGACCTCCAATTCTTAATTTAATAAAAAATTTAATTTAAATTTAAAGTCTTATAATTTTTTTTAATTTGTAATTTCAAATGGTACTTTCATTTAAAATGTCCAAATAAACTATTAATTTAATAAAAAATTTAATTTAAATATTTAATTTTTAAAAAGTCTTATAATTTTTTAAAATTTGTAATTGAAATGGTACTTTCATTTAAAATTTCCAAATAAACTGCATTAAATTTAGCATAATTCCACTGTCCCAATTCCTCCATAACTTAAGTCCAAGGAAAGGGGAGGCCGAGAAAAGTTAAAGATAGGGAGCTACAGCAGGCAGCAGCTCTCTGCTCTCTTAAAGCTAGCAGCCAGGAGAATGACGAGGCAGATGTACCTCATCAACCCATAATTGGATACTATTAAAGAAAGACAAAAATGTCCTCCCCCCGAACCACACCCTGCGAATTGAAATACTAATGAGAACCTGATAACGTGTATATTTTTATCTGTACAAACCACTATATGAGTTGCTGCCACCTAGTGACTGGAGGCTTGTTATCATTCCAGCATTACAGCAGTGGTACACCTATGTCCAGTGTGCCACATTCCATTGGAAGCCCCTCACGCCCCCCACTGGCACCTCACCACACCTGACTAGTCTTTCTTTTATTGATTTCTCAAGTCATCATAAGTCTCATAAGGGCTAAGATAAAAACAAAATGCATAAAGTTGTTTTATTAAAATGTAATTTGATTGACATATTCAAGAATTTTGGTTGTAAAGTTCTTATTATATTCTTATGGACATATTCATTATTTCTTTACGTTTGACATACATGTGAGACATTGCCAGCCTACGATCAGGTTCCTGTCCAAAACCTGTCATTGTCAAATGTCTCTGAGGCATCGTGTCACCAGTTACTTGACGGTGATCGATCTACATAGCCTCCGACACTGCAGTGACACAGCTTTGCTGTGCTTAAAAGCCAATGCAGCTTTTGCCTTTTTTTCTTAAGATTTATTATTTAAGTAGTTTGCAGTCTCTGGAGCAGAGTCTGTGAAATACCGCCGATAGCAGTTGAGGTGGCGCTGTTTGAAAACAACTCCATGAAATCCTTTCCTTCTTCCATGCTGCTACTGAGCTGGGGATCCAACGGCACACATCCTGAAAAGAGAGTACAAAATGAAAATTTGTCCATTTGGAACCTAAAGTGTTCAACTGACTTCATTAACTACTGTCGAGGTACACAGCCCTTTTTTTGTTAACATCACCTGATTGTATTTCCTTTTTTCCCCCCCCCTGATTTCGAAAGATTGGGACATCCCTCTATATATGGAGTATCCACACTTTTCTGGCTTGAGAACTACTATTGAAATGACCAGGCTAATGTGATCTACCCAACTGAAAAAGGTATGTACATATGTATGCATAGATATGTGTAAAAGTATGTGTATACATGTTTATATTTACTCATAAACTAAACATACTTTATTAATATAATTATATGTTGTGGTACTGATTAAACGCATATAGCTATATGCCACAATATGATTTAAATCCCTACAGCAGAATACATATCCAACAGGTGGAATTAATAAAACATAAAAGATTTAAGTCAGCTGGTAAAATCCAGACAAGAAGTCATGCTAAAGTTGTGAGCAGGACTAGCTTTGCCTTGTTTTGGAAAACAACTACGATTTCGCTAACACGATAGAAGCTAGCATTTGCAGGACACATACATCCATGTTCAGTGTTTTAAATGTTGTTTCTTTCCTATATCCAGTAGACAGAGTAGACACCAATCATCAAATTACAAACTATACTCTTAGTTTTAAATCCTTTGGTGCCATCTTCATTTTTCATGCGATAAGTTGAAAGTTGTTTTTTTTTGTTTTTTTGTTTTGCTTTCTCTTCCTCTGTGTTGTGAACACACCCAGAAACACTGATCCGGTGAGTTTGGCCAGTTCCTCTCCCCCGCCCTTGGAGAATATGTTGCTACATTCCTGAAACGAGAATATTTATCAATGTATTAAAATGTGCTGCATAAAACTTTATATAAACTTTAAAAATTTTTTTTAATCGTTCACCATGTAATCAAACCCAGATCAAGCATATAGAGTTTTAAAAAAAAAAAAAGTAAAAAAATTAAACAGTAACAGATGACTCACCGAGCAGTGTGGACAAACAAAGCCACTCATGTTCTCAATGATGCCCAGGATTGGGACGCCTGTCTTCTTACAAAAGGTGATCTCTCTCCGCACATCCCCCGTAGACACTGCCTGCAGAGAACAGTATATGTGTATATATATATGTTTGTAAATGCTGTACCGCGGGCCACATCTGACTAGTTCCCCTTTCTGTCGCAACCCACATTATATAATAATGTGTATATATAGATATATATACATTATTATTGGGTTAGCACATAGTCATAGGCCGTAACATTACTCAGAAGAAGCAAGAACACACCAAGCCGTACATCATAACGGGTGCTCAGAAGGAAAAACATGGCTACGTGATCAGTCACCTCATGTAGTCCTGGAGGGAAATTAAACATTGGCTTCGACTTTATTGTCAGTTAAGTCAAGATGGATTTTCCAATGGCGAAAAGCTCAAGGGTAAATTGTGGACAAAGAAAGGTTTTTTTTTTTTTTTTTTTTTTAACCTACCTGTGGTGTAGTGACCAAAACAGCTCCATCAACTCTGTGCTTTTTGAGATTCTCCAGTACAGCCAGATGCTCATCAGATGTCCCTGGAGGTGTGTCCACCAGCAACACATCAAGTTCTTCCCAGGCTACGTCTGATACAAACTGACTGATTAAAGCTGTCGGACAGAACATTCAGAAGTTGAAGCTGTTAGGAGATTTTCAAATTAGTATCTGTATTGATACAGTGGTCTCAATTAGGAATGCACTATGAATTGAACAATACAAAATGTTATAGTTCAGTATAATATTAGCTCAGTGGATCTGCCCTCAGCTAACTTAAGCTCATTGCCGAGTGCAGCGCCACTAAGCTGTGCCTTCCACATTCAGTAACACTACACTTGGGGTGCTACATGCGAAACTAGCTTGTTGCAACATAGCTAATGAAGGAGATTCATCATGATATATATATATGTATATGTGTATATATATATGTATATGTATATATATATGTATATCTGTATATATATGTATATGTATATATATGTATATGTATATATATATGTATATGTGTATATATATAGTATATTCAAACAATGTGTGCTTAGTTCTCACACTGGTTTAGTTTTTTTTATTTCATGAGGATGACTGATTGAACTGGTGTAAAACCACATTTGTAAAACTAACAAACCTGTTTTCTTGGGTCCTCTCCACACCACTGCTTTGTCCGGATCATCTAGTAGAAAGCCAATGGACATGAGCGCCAGGCTCTTCTGAGCGTCCGTGTAGACCGGCACCCAGCCTGCGTCACAGAGGTGCACGTCAGGCCGCCCTACACTCAGCATGCGAGGGATACTGGGACCACACAGATCGACATCCAGAATACCAACCTGTAAAAGACAGCAGTTTACAGTACATTAACGGTAAGACAATGAAGTAGTTATTCCCTTATTTTTTTTTTTCTTCTTTTCTACTTTGCTTACCTTTAAATGTTAAAAAATAACCTTGATAGCTTCACCTACTGTTTAATGGTTAAGTATAGGTGTAATAACAATGCTAGCGCCCAAATACTAGAATTAGCCCCCTTTGGTTCTTGGTGACCCGGTGGCTCAACTTTTTCTCATACTCTGATTCTGGGACTAGGTGCAAACCTGTTGTGAGAACGCTGGGGGTGTATAAAATGCAAAGGAGATCGAGAGGGTTAAGTTAGAGTTATTCTGGGTATTGGTTACTTCAAGGCCTACCAAGTAGCAGGTATTATTTTATTATTTTGGGTATTCTAATTTTTGTGGAATTTTTTTCCAGCCTAATGTTGCCTATGTCTGCCTATGTGGCCTATGTCTTTAAATAATTACCCCAATGTTTTAGACAATGATAAAACAGACAATGATGTATGTATGTGTATATATATATGTATGTGTATATATATGTATATGTGTATATATATATATATATATGTATATGTATATATATATATATAAATATATGTGTGTGTATATATATATATATATATATATGTATATATATCTAAGACAAAAGTTCTCTTTGTATAAAACAGATATAAGTCGATCACTTTGGTGTCTCACCTTGTTGCCAGCCTGTCTGAGTGCCAGAGCTAACCCAGTGGTGATCGTGCTCTTACCCACACCCCCCTTTCCTGACAGAACCAGCACCACATGACGAACATTGGCCAGACTACCAATTTCTAAAGCAAAAAAAAAAAACAGAAGTTAGTATAGCTGAGCAGGGCCACACTTGATTTGTATGTTTCTATAATAGAATCATATACTGAATCCAACAGCGTATCAAGAAAGATAGAGGCTGGATTGATGGCATTAGTCTATAATGGATTTTTTGGGGGGCATTAAACGCTAAACAGAAATACATAAAATGAAAACACGTATTTTAAAAAGTTATTTCGAAAAAAATTACATTGTTACATTGTTTTGTGAACTGTAACTGTTCAATTCATATTGAAAGGTACCACAATACAAAGACAATAGAAACGGCAAACTGGCAGTTATGTTATTATTATAATTCTAGCGTAGGATTACATAGTAATGTAAACAAAATAGTCTTATTGTTGGGAGTGTACTGTATTTAAAATAAACAGGACCCAAACGTCTTTATAAACATATATACTGTACCAGGGTTGAACAGGAAGCTTAACTTATTAGATTAAAATTTCAAATAAATAGGAATAGAACGTAAAACAAAAAAAGGTAAAACAAAATTTACTGTAAAATAATAGTTTAAACAACTTGTAAACTTGACCAACCTTAACTAAATTAATCAAATTAACAGAAATAAAATGTATTGACAACTTCAGAGCTGTGTATATACTGTGAAATGACTACTGCGTAATGTAATGCTTTGTATAAAAGCCAATACATTTTCGGAATTTGGTGAAAGTTTCATTTCAATTACGCCTTCTGAAATATATATTTACGAATGCGTGACAACGAGATAAAAAAAAATTAATCGCAATAAACTGGACAAAGACTCAAAAAGGAAATGTATTAGAAGAGTTGCGAACATGTATGTCAGTGTACGATATAAACACACGAGATAAAATTTGTAAACACTTTCTTCTATTGACGGCAGTATTTCCCTCACCATAGCTTATACTGCTCAACCTCAAAATGTATGTATTTAAATAAATAAAAATTATAGAAAAATAGGACATCTAGGATGCAACCTTATTTTATTGACAGAGCTTTGACATTTTGACATATTTGATTTATTTTTCAACGTTGTTTTTATATTTTAACTGGACTACAACTTTTTTAAAATGAAGATAACAAAACTTAGCCGTTTGTTTTACCAGTGTTTTCGTCAATTTTAAGTGTGACGATTGGCGACTGACCCGCAGCCAGTAAACCTTCACACATTGACAATATGAGATGTATTACGATGTGTTGGTGGTATGGTGTTGGAATACCACAAGTTCCAAAATTTCAACTCACCATTATTTTGTTCCTTATCCATGCTGAACAGCTATACCGGAAGTCTATCTGTTCTGCGCATGTGCAGTGTTAATGCCCGGTCCTCAACGGAAGCCTGCGCGTTTTGCGTTCGTAAATCACCCTTGTCCCTTACCCTCAGTGTAAATAGACATTTATAAGAGCAGATTTCCGGCGAATGCAGCACGTCATCCACATTCATTCCACGTCCGTTTTTTAAAATAATAAAATATATTTAAAAATATATAATAGTTTAATGGCTGTTTAATACATATTTGTCACAATGTTTTAAAGCTATTTTTGTTTTGTTTTTTTACTCAAACTATTGTAAAGCTACACAATCCACCAAAAAAAAAAAAAAAACACTGGAGAGGACGGCTTTTTTTTTCTTCAAATTTCTGACAAAATTGATATTGTAGAGGGGATGTCTCAACATGTTATCCTGTCATTTCCCTCCTAAATCCCGGCTCCTACTAATATCCTAATATAAAGAGAAGCCTCATTATTATTATTATTATTATTATTATTATTATTATTATTATTATTATTATTATAGTATCTAATTATGTTCTTATGACATTTTTTCTTATGACTTGGTTTAGTGTAAAGTACTTGCAATCTGCTATAACTCATTACATTGGAGGAGTTTTAGCTCCCTCTACTGTTCGCGTGCTGAAAATGATTGGCTGCAAAACTGTGGACGATTCCAATCACTGGCAGGTTGATTCAAGTCATCGTGTCCCATGGTTAAAAAACATTCCCCTAACTAAATGAATTTCTCCATACTTAGCTGCTTGATTTGATAAAGTGAATTACTTGTCAGAATACCTCTGTGGCCAAGATTGAAACACCCATTGATTGATAAGAAGAAAAAAACCATGCAGGACGTTAGTGTGTGGAGACTCGTGGTAAATATTTTAATCTGTGTCTGTCGCCTATAATAACAATTTCCCTGGTACTCTATTTTCTGAATCACATGATTGTTGTGCCAATTCCCGTTGTCTAAAGTCGTTCAATACATAAACAATACAATACATAAACATCTTAAATTTTTCCCATGTTTGCACTTTAATGTCCTCTCAAGCTGCATTTGTACCAAAGGTGCCGCAGATGACAGTCATTGTACAGAATGCGTAAAGAAACATGGTGTGAACGATGCCATTTTATTTTATTTTTTTTAGTCAAATATTGCAGCCCAACATAATATTGTTACACACAAGTTAAATAACAAAACATGTCACCAAATGTAGCGGACACAGTTGGTGAGAATAAATTATCAATAACACTGATAGAGCAGCACATGAACGTATAGATGTCAAAGAGAATGTCAGAAAAAAAATTATTTATATTTAAATGTTATATAGACAACATGAAAATAAACAGAAAAGTGGTGATAAGAGTCAATGGATATATTTTATAAGGAAATCAGAGGGAACACAGAGATGGTAGGGATTAGGAAGATAAACAGAAAATTACTATTAGATAAGAAATCAAATTAACCCTAGATCTTTAAAATCCATATTAAGAGTGTCGAACATACTGTATAGGTTTCCTAATGTATCATGTGCTCATGCATAGCTACTGCTACTTTCCCAGTATTCTCCAGTTAAACTGCCAGTAGCTGTAAGCAGGATACAAAAAAAAATTACAGCTCACTGTTTTATTTCCTTATGAAGACTAGGACAGTCTGTAGTTTAAAAGTCAAAATATGTAATACATTTTATGAAGTGTCTCCTCGTTGCTGCAAGGCTTTCTTTGAGGATTTAGAAGAAACAGAGAGATCGGCGAACACAACAGATCGGCCATCGGGCCCGAGTAGAACACTGGAGTCTGCCTCACATTTCGTTGTTCTGCTGGGCCACGAGGCTTCTTCCGAACTGGGCTCAATTGCAAAACTATCAGCCGAGAGAACTTTCGTGTTTTCTACTGATGCCTGATTCATTTTAAACATAATTTCCAGTGACTGTTTACAACTTTCTAAAGACGACCTCAGCACTTTTTTTTCACACTCGTTCTCCTCCTCCTGCTTTACCGCTTCAACTCCCTGCGTCTTGCCTTTAGTCTTTCGGCTGTCTTCGAAACTACCGTCCTCCATTGTGAAATGTAGGGAGTCCTTCTTGAATGACAGGTCAAGAGGTCTGTCGCACTGAGGAGCCATCTGCTCCAGCGCTTGTTGTATGTGGGACAACTCACCCCGGATTTTGCTTAGATGGTCCCAGAGATAATGCTGGACAGGCAGGTTGTCCTTTTCCAGTTGAGAAATTTTGCACTCAGCCTTTTGGTACTCCTGCAAAGCTGTGGTTAGGTTGCTTAGGAGAGCGTCCACTGACTCTGGGGCATGATCCCCAACCATCCGGACAGCGGACAGATCTTGACTATTGGGTCTTCCACTAATTGAAGATGCTTCACTTCTATAATTAGTTAAAGTATCACTGTACAACATATCATTAGGCCAGGGTTGAAGCTGAGTGCTGGGTGAACTGAAAGAGAGAAAAAAAATATGATGATATAGTTGATAAACTAGAAATATAAAAGTAATAATTTCTATGTTACACTTTTTTAATTTTCTCAGTATATCTGTTACGTTATCTATACAGCATGTATATTACAGAAGATCCTCACTTTATGGGGTCCTCGACCTATAAGGCAATTTGTGCTTAAGTTGCCATATTCCATAAATGTATTAAGAAAGTCTTGTCCTGTCATTCCGACATAGAGTTAAAACAAATCTCCCCTTCCACCACCTGACACCTTACCGAGCTCATTCCGACATAGAGTTAAAACAAATCCCCTCTTCCACCACCCGACACCTTACCTTACCCACCCCACTATTTGAGTAATACTGTTGTAAAGTGACATGTATTTGAGAAGTACTGTTGTAAAGTGACAGAGGTACTGATTTACAGTATTTGAGTTCCGACTTAAAACGAAAATCGATTTACGTTGCACCGTCGGACCGGACCCCCTGTACACACTCAGAATCAGAAGCTGTTTACACGACCGTTTACATCACAAGGAAAATAAAGTGAAAGTGTTACCTTTTCTGATGAAGTAGTTTGTCTGTTGCCACTGCAGTTTGAATATTCTTCAGCACATCCACAGTAAAGCCCAGGGTCGGCCTCTTCTCCACTGGTTCCTCATGGCTCCACAGCGGAGGCCCTGTTCTCTTTAAGTTCCAGCTTAGTTTTCTTTCCTTGGCTGATGTCGGCAGTGTATCCCCAACCTTGAAGCTAATGGTGTCTCCCTGTGTCGCTGCCCAGCCGGCAGGTAAATGTGTTGTCTTTTCTGGCAGTAACGTTGGTGCCTTCCACAAACTGATTTTAGGCAGGTAGGTGGACTGGGGATTTCCTTCTAGGCAATTTGCTGACGGTTTCAGTTGCTTACCTAAGTCACTCTGACCTAACGCCGGTCCAGTTGTGTGATCGCACAGGAACGGGTAGTACAGATGAAATGGGAGGAGGGCTCTATCTGTATCCATACCAGAGGCTAAGTGCATCAATTGAGCTGCTGATGCCAGGAAGGGGGGTGGAGGGAGCTGCGCGTGGCTGTGGGTGGTAGCACTCGTTGCAGTAGTAGGAATAGGAGAGGAGTTCAGCTTGGACAAGGGGTTGGACTTGATGGCATAGTCCACCCCAAGTGCTGAGAGATGTGCCGCTGTGAGGTCCTGATAATCTGCCAGGTTTTGGGCGAAAGGGTAACAGGGTTTTGAACTACTCACATAGGGCATCGCTCCCTCTGATTTGACCTTAGTATGGCCTGATGCTAACAGCCACCATTTTCTAGGCAGCAGCTCAGGAGATGTGAGACACGTCTTTGGTGGTTCATAATGATTAGCCTGGGCTAGTCCTTCGACTGAGTGGGCTTGTAAAATCTGGTCTTCTAAGGACAACATGTCCGGTGTAAGAACCTTTGAGTTTTGGAGTTTCGTTTTCTTGCCAATTAATTCCGCATAGGTCTCTCTGTTCCTGTTACTCTCCTTGGCCATTCCAACATCTGGTTGTTCACCTCTGGCCCCAAACTCCACATCTTCTCTGTCTTTCTTGTTATCTCTTTCTTTTTCTAAGATTATTTGTTGCCCCTCCCCGGTCTGTGTCGCCTGCTGCAGTTCATCTTTCTCCGCCGCATGGAGGCCACACACCTGCTGAAATCGACGTATCTGGTCTGGATGCAGGATGTTGCCTTTTTTATAAGGCCATTCCGACTCCCTCAGCAGAGACATGGAGTTCTTACATAGGCTGTACTTCATGTGGTTGTACAGGTGAGATTTTTCCATGCATGTGAAGGGGCACTGGAAGCATTTGTAGTTGTAGGGTTTCCCCCACGGACGGGGGATATAGTGAGGCTTCTTTGGTTTGCGCTCCTTGTGTTTGCTGGCCGATGTTACTGTACAAGTATTGTCCAGGGACATGATTAAATCTGGATTTTTTTTTTTTTTTTTTTTTAATGAACTTATTCAATATTTAAAATAGTTTGAGTATTTCTTTTCTTTTCTTCCTGATTTCTCCGTTGAGGGTGTACATGAGGAAAAGCACATTTTCTCAATGACATGAAACCAAACCTGTAAAAAAAAAAAAAGATACATTGTATCAGTAAAAATGTGTGGTACAATACAAATTTATTGTTGATCGATTGTTCTTTGTAAACGTCGGAAAAAAGGAGTCACTGCAAAAACATTGAGCTAATCGTAGGAGAAAATCTTCAAGATGAAGTTGTTTGTTCACTGAAGGGGAACATATCATTACATAGCACGTATGTGTTCCATGGGAGAACATTTGTTGTCTGCTTTAACCGAGGGTTGCCACTAACCTAACTGCAGGGAGGTTTACTATGCTCTGTTCTAGCTCTACCTGCCACTACTCATTAGTTCCACTGCAGCTGCAGGACCATGGGCTTAGGCGCACCCAGGGACATAACCGGGTACTCTGCACCTGTGCAGGGGGTCCTAACACCACTCAGAGACCCACATGATTTCAAATGACCACCGTCTTGGAGGTTGGTTAGAGGCAGTGCAGGGTCAGGCTGAGGACTATATGGAGGTGGGTGAGTAATACGGAGTCGTAGGTTTAAGCCCTGGTTACTAATGAGTGCCAGGCGTCATACCTTTAGGGCGTCATTAGTGCCAGAACTACAGGATCTGGGTCAGGACATTGTGAATAACTTTAACTATTCTCCTTGCTTCACATTTCCCTATTTTTGGAATATTTGGTAAAAGAAAAAGTAGCCAAGTAAGGGCGATAGAGAGAGGGTGGGACAGACAGAGGGAGATTGTCGGCAATTACATATTTATGAAACTTCTTCTGGTTAGTCAATAATCTGAAACTAAATCAACGTCCCGCTACTGGTATTATTGTCTGCACTAGCACGTACTAGCAACAGTTTCACCACCGAATAAAGGCATCGCAGTTTTGAAAAAGGGCCCAAGAAGCATTGCAGGAGAAGTTTTTTTTTTTTTAAGAAGTGTATGTTTTACCATAAATAAATAAATAAATAAATAAAAAGGAAACAAAGTATTAAGCTGTAAAAAAGGTAGCTGTAAAAAATACGTCAGACTCAGGCAGGATGTATTTCTGTTGTTAAGTTTTGACATTTTGTATTAATAATAATGACCGTTTCACTGTTTCACCATCCAACGATAATTAAAAGGACAATTTTTTTTTATATTTCAATACATGTTTTCATTAAATAAATTAATTCAGTTATATTAAGTAATATGTAGAAAACTTCCCTTTCACTTTAACTTGTGAGATAGTACGTAAGATATAGAAGAGTTTTTAATGTTTGACATGTATATACTGTCATACTGTACATGTATATGTATAAATATATATTGCATTGTGAAGA